GACTGTTAAAGGAAACTATACTTAAAAATATTCTCTGGGCTTACAGAATTTTCAATAAATTTGGATCTGGAGGATTCACCCATTTAAAATACCAGCCTATCCAAATTGGAGATGAGACAGTTAATCACAGTAATTGATAACAGGCAACCTGACGATGACAGTGCTGCTTCCAACACTTAAATTGCCTGTTTTACTTAGTTTTACAAGTTTAAAATTATTTTTAAAAAACAAAATGCTCATATTACCACCCAGAAGAATCTGACTACATTAAAACCCTGTGACTTACGGGAAAGTGGTTTAATGTAAACTTAAAGTGTGTTCTAGGATGCAGGAAACTTGGGTGAGGGTTTTGTTTTATGATTTGTCAGTACCATGAACTCGGGCGTCTCTCACTTCTGTTGTCCAACTGCCATGTGGAGTTGGTGTGTTGCTTGAAGTCCACCCCAACTCTCAAGTTGATAATTTCATGATGTTACTGAATTTTTAAATGTGTGTCTTAAAATCAAGCAGAGACATATAATTCGGACACTTAAATTGGTGAGGATTTTCTTGTACTCTTCCTGTGCTTTTTCCATACCACCTTAATAAAATAAACTGGCAAGAGATTCTTTCTGGTTTCTTTCTCTAGTTTTAGAGCCTGTTCTTACCACACCTCTCTTTATCTTGTTCCATTCTTTGATATATTAATCGTACGATAATTCATTTTAGTTTGGATGATGAACCCAGATATATTGAATTATATAGTAAATTTTAATTTTTGTCAGATATTGTTTTAAATTGGAGTAAATATTAGATGCAAAATATTCATAGTTTGATATTCAGCACATGAAAACTTCATAAAATATTTAGAATACACACAGTTCCTCCTGGGCAGAGTAACTATAAGGTATTCCTTCTTTAAAATTTTTCCCTATTAAATGACATAAGATCCCACAATCTAGAGACTCAGGGTGATCTAAGACCCACAAATAGGTTCCCACGGGTCTTTTTGTCCCCCTTTGTCTTTGTTCATTTTTTTTTTAAAGGAAGAAATCCACATCAACTAAATCATTGTTTTTTATGCAGAAATGCATGTACAGCTGTTTTGACAAATAAAGGTTGGTTCAGATAATTAGCAAGGCTGTTATATCTCCCTAGAACATCATTCAGTCTGAGACTTAAAAAGAAAAAAAAGTACAGATTGTATGATTTTCTAAAATGAACAGGGGGCCGGGGATTTAGCTCAGTGGTTCTGCTATCTGCTTCGCAAGCACAAGGTCCCAAGTTTGATCCCTGGAATAAAAAAAAATATAAAATAAAATAAAATAAATGAACAGGAGACAAAAAATAATTCTTAAATTCCCTATACACCATGTGACAGTTAATCCTGACAAGACAACTTCACTGGACCAGGAAATGCCCAGCAGTTCAGCAGCACTCACTCCTGAATGTGTCTTGTCTGAGTAGTTCATGAAGGTGTGGCCGTGGGTGTTACGTGTCCCTGGTCCCTTCCTCCCTGGCACTGTTCCCCTGCTCTGCTCACCAGCCAGCATGGACTAGGAGGCTTTGTTCCACTCTTTCCTTCCCCCATGAGGTTTCTGCCATGGAGTCTGCTGACATGCACTGCATCTGCGGAAATCATGAGCTAAAATGCATCTTTCTTCCTTTAAATGATGGCTGTCAGGTATGGCAACTAAGTGATGGGAAAACTGACAAATAACACATTGCTTTAACCCAACATGCCCTCCCTACAGATGAAAAAGTATCCATTCTTACTCTCCTACCACTTAAGGATACTTCAGTGGGAATATTTAAGGGAAATAGATGTAAGCAAATCTGAATGTGTCTCTTCTTTGAATAAAGGAAGGATATAAATGTCAATGACATTCAATATGTATACGTTTCATGCCATAAACATTTTTCCTACTTGTGCAGATGCAGTGTTTCTCACCTTCTGATACTTTCCCCAATCCTTGACCAGATGTTAAATGTTTCATATCCAATGTTTTTTATCTTTGATAACTCAATCATCATTGTGCTGTGGGAAATGCTACCCATATACTATCAGCAGTATCAATCATGACTCTTCATAAAATCTATTTATAAAATGTATGGTTTAATTTTCTTAAAATAAAGTATTTCAAAAATTTAGTTGTAACAATGGGAAAAAATGATATATCTTTGTACATTTTCACATACTAAATAATTTTTAGAACAATCAAACCAATGATCCTGAGGCAAAGTGACAGTTTTCTTCAGGGAATGAACAAGAAGCATTGTTAGGAATGTGAACCCCTACCCCAGTGTCTACCTCTGTCACAAAAGAACTTTCTCTAAGTATATAGGTATACAGTACAGTTACATTCATCGTTGGGAACGTGTACCTTTACATGAAAGGTCTTAGTTCTCATTTTTCCCTTGTCCCTGCCCTCCCTTCACTCCCTCTTTCCCTACCCATTTACAAACACTTTATTTCCATTTTTTCATTTTCTCATATTTTTTCTTTTCCCTTATTACCTTCCCCTACCCTTCCCACTTTTCTCTATACCTTTAGCCTGTTTCTTCCTATTTCACATTGTTAATTATATCATTAGTTTTTCACACCAGAGAAACTATTTGGTATTTACACAAGTGTGACTTACTTATTTCACTTAGGAATATATCCTCAATATGTATCCATTTTCCAACGAATGACTCTAATTTCTCATTCTTTATGGCTGAGTAGTATTCCATTTTATAGAAAAACCACATCTTCTTTATCCAATTTCCAACTGATGGGCAAATGGGCTGTTTCCAAGTTTTAGCTATTACAAACTGTGCCTCTATAAACATAGGTGTGCATATATCACTGTGATATGATTCTTTTAATTCTTTTGGAAAGATACCCAGGAGAGGGGTGGCTGGGTCAAATGGAACCTCTACTGCCAGCTCTTTGAGGTATTTCCATATTGATTTCCATAGTGGTTGCACCAGTCTGCACTCCCACCAACAATGGAGAAGCTTTCTACCCACAACCCTGCCAACATTTTTTATTGTTTGACTTCTTAATAGCAGCCATTCTTTGTGGGATGAGGTGGAATCTCAATGTTGTTTTCATTTGTGTCTCTCAAATGACCAGTGATGTGGAACATTTTTTCATATATTTACTTGCTGCTTTTAATTCTTTGTCTGAGAAATGTCTGTTCATTTCAGATGCCCATTTTTTAATCGGGTCCTTACATTTGGAGGGGCTGATTGTTTTGAATTCTTTATATATTCTAGATAAGAGCCCTTTGTCTGAGAAGCAGCTGGTAAACATTGAATGCTCACATTAGGAAAACAGAGCGAGCTCAAAGAAACAACCTAACGATGAATCTTAGACTCCTAGAAAACCAAGAGCAAGAAAAACCCAACGTTCATACAAGAGAGGAAATTATAAAGAACAGAGCAGAAATCAATGCAATGGAAACTAAAAAAATGATACAAAAGATAAATGAATTGAAGAGTTGGTTGTTTGAAAGAATAAATAAAATAGATAAAACCTTAGCTAACCTTATCCAAAAAAAAAAAAAAAAAGAAAAAAAAAGGCTCAAACCAATTCAATAAAAAAAAA